GTGGTCCTTCTGTAGCATGTTTAGATTGGAGTGAAATTTGTGATGGAACAGTTGATTGTCTCGATGGAGAATTTGATGAAGAACATTGTTGGCAGCTTGAAATAAATGAATGTAATGATCATGAATATCGATGTACGAATGGACAATGTATAACACAGTCGTTTTTTCGAGATGACTAGAACATTCCTGATTGTCTTGATGGCTCTGACGAAGTTTCAAGAATCACAGGACAACTGGACGAATGTACTAGAGCTATACCATCATTTGAATGTGAAGAAAAGACATTTGATTATACATTCCTGACATATTCTTTTGTGAAACAACGCCAAACCTTACTATTAAAAGCAATCTATTCTGCTAAAGACAGTTCGATGTCTGAGCAATGTCGGTCAGCTTTCAAATGCCTGTTAGAAATACCAGGTTCAGAATGGCCATTTTGTACTAAGATTTGTGAAAGATCGGCTTGTCGAGAGATCATAAAGAACACATGTCCAGATATGTTTTTCATTCCAAATATTCCATTTGTTTTTGGTCACATTTACTTGGCACATACAAAAGATGACTCATTATTTTTAGCTAGTGGATATTTTGCACAGCCTTACGCATGCTATAATGATTCTCGTTATGATAAACATTTTACTGGTCGTCCGAAGGTTTCATTCAATAAAGGAACATGTACTTCCAGGTGTGCTACCGTCTCCAATGATATTGTCGACTAAATGGGAACTAAAATATGGTACATCTTTAAAAGAACTATTCAACAATCTGAAAAGATTTAAACCGACTACTAACTATAGTTCTGCAATTTGTAATAGACCGAACATGTATCAGTGTGTAAATTCGTCTAAATGTATTTCAGTAAGGGTGTGGGTGTGAGTGTGGGTGTGGATGTGGGTGTGGGTGTGGATGTGGGTGTGGGTGTGGATGCGGGTGTGGGTGTGGGTGTGGGTGTGTGGTGAGTGTGGGTGTGGGCATTCGAAAAGACAAAAACACACCCACCCACACCCACCCTTGTTTTGCTTTTTAGGAGAACGGATTTTCCTCGATGTTGGACTGAAATCCGTGCAAAATCTCGAAAATTTGTGTCTATGTTTGTAAGCTTTTATCATCGTACTATAATCTGACAGAAAAACAAGTAGCATATTCGGAATCAGCGGAAAAAACTGAGTCAAATTATATGTTATTCTACGTAGGTTTTCATGCTGATTCTGAATATGCTATTCATTTCTATATCAGAGTAAGTTATGATACTAAAAGCCACCAAATATGGACACAATTTTTTCCGTTTTACATTTTTTTTCGATTAGCGTTCATTAGAATCGAATTTTCTCAAAAATAAATAGCAATCTAAAAAGGCTGCATAGATAATGTTGAAGGTGAAAGTCCAGTGATTCTGAATGTAACATCGAATTCGGTTCTACAGTTTCTCATGAGAGATTAGATAGGCTTATAAATATATGGATAAAAATATATACTTGGAGATATACGCCAGTTAATTATATTTCATGGGATAATTGTTACTTGATTAACTTCGCATTCAATGAAACAACATTTTTATACACAGTTTTTTGTGCTGATTTCGATGGATACAAAATATGTATCTTCCTGATCAGGGATCCGAATTGATAGAAATGGTTTTGACTCTTCAACATTTGTGAGGAGTGTGTCGCTTGTATGCTTTGGGATTTTTCACAGGAAAGTCCGAAAAAGCTAATATTTTGGATTTGAAGTATTCACATGATGGTCTATCTTTTTAAATACTTAAATCGAAAATCAAAATTTTGTCGGC